TTCATTTTTTAAAATCAATTTTGGAAATTTCTCACTCTTTATCTTTTTGAATATTGATTCTACTATATTTCCTCTCCATTTTAGACTTCCATTACATCTGTGTTTAACTTTTCAGCATATTCTATTTTTTATGCCTTGTTCTATTTTATTTCATTCTCTTTTTTCTCTATGTATTAGTTTTTGTGTGTACTATTTATTTATGTTCCACAGCACTAATACTAACTTCTGCTGTATCCAACCTACTAATAAACTCATCCATTAAGATACACATTTCAGGTACTGTTTTTCAGTTTTAGTGTTCATTTGATTTTTACTTTTTATATATTCTGAACCCAGTAAAAATACTTCATTTTCAAGTATTTTGTTTATAACTTCACATTAAAAATAGTGTGAGACCTAAGCTAAAGAGAAATACACTGTATACTTCGTCACTTTGTTTTAGTGATTAGAATCACTAATAACTGGAGATCATTATCAGCTGTATTGATTTGTTGTTTGAGGATGAGCTTTCAATTTCTTCTTAGGACGTAGCCATCTAATACTTTGGAAGGTCTGGTCAGAGCATGCAGTACTGGGATGGGAACTACCGTATTTGCCGGCGTATAAGACGACTGGGCGTATAAGACGACCCCCTAACATTTCCACTCAAAATACAGAGTTATATACTCGCCGTATAAGACTACCCCCTCTTCCGCACACCTTCCACACACAAAATAAAAGGTAAAACAATATCAGATTTGATTTCAACATTTATATTTATATTCAAATGCTTATGACATGCAGGAAAACTGTCACAAGGCTGTATGTAATCAAACATATACATAAATCGCGATTCGCGATTTTGCGCTATCATACTGGGTGTATGGTCGGCTGTGTGCGATTTTGCGAGTGTGGTAAAATCGCATAACAGCAAAATCGCATAACAGCCGAGCATACACCCAGCAGCGCTGCTGATGCCTGAACGGTATGTGGAATGAAGTGGGCGGGCATCGGGAGGCCACTATGGCACGGGGCAAGCACTATGGGCAGTCTATCTGAAGTGTACCTGGCGTATAAGACGACCCCCCACTTGGAGGCATATTTTTCAGGGCCAAAAATCGTCTTATACGCTGGCAAATACGGTATTTGTCTATACAGATCTTGTCAGGGGTTTAGGAATGTGCTCGTGGAGATCTGCTCCTGTGCCTATTCCCTGAGGAATAGTAGGAATTAAGGGGTGACAGGATCTACTATGGATGTGGCATTAAGAGACATCCACTGTAGGTAATAATGGCAGTCACTTAATTCCATGTTGGTGTCCTTTGGACTCCTAAACACATATCCTTCATCTAGTGCATCTCAGTCCTCTTCAGCTTGTTTTGGTAGACTTCAGTTTTTGCTCATTTCCAATTACGAGATTTCTTTATTCTTTGTGTCCACCTTCCTCATCTGCTTGTCTCTGACATTGCTTCTAAAAATATTTGTGGATTAAAGACGTATTAGTGCTGTATCTCAGAGAAAGACTTGAGTTAATGTGTTCTGAAATATGACGGCTGGGGGTGGTAAGTGGGTCCGAAAACACTAAGGGGAACATTAAAAGAAAAATAAAAGTATCCAAGTGAAGTTAGAAAATACAATCCCATTATATATTTTATATATACACACACACACACACACACACACACACACACATATACATATTACAAATTCATTTTGGATTTTTCACCTCTAATTTTGTTAGTATTATAAAGCACTGCTGTGTATTCTTAGTGTATAATTTCTTTTTATTTAGACTATATGCCTGACAGCAGAAATGTGCAATTTACTGTTTTTTAGCAGCTAAAGTTGCTCATTAGCATAATTAGCATAAAGGAAGCCTTCTAAGCTTCCTAGAAATCCCCCTCATGGCAACTTCCTGTCACTACTTCCTTCTCCTCAAAGAAAATTCTCTCATTATTTTTAATAGCATAGATTAATTTTGCCTGTTTTTAAATTTCTATAAATGGAATCATGTGATATGTATCCTTTTTTATGTTTGATTATCAGTCATCATTATAAGATTAATCAATTTTGTGTATATAGTTCATTTTAATTATTGTATAGTATCCCAATGTATGATTATACTGCAGTTTTTATCTCCCAGATTGGGGGAATCCACTTCTTAGAGGAGATTTGTGTGTCTCCTTTTCCCCATCCGCCCTCTGTGGCAGCCAAACTCTGCTTTGTACCTGTGATGGTGTGTAGGAGAGAATTTTTTTGTACCTCCTCAAACTGTGGCAGATCTGTGCTGTGTTTTGGTGCAGGATGGGAGCCTAAGATGTCTTCCTGCCCACGCCCCCAGGGGCAGACAGCTTTTGTTTCTTCCCTCCTTCCACAGGTAGTGGATCTTTGCCTAATTCCTAGGGTCAGGAAAGCAGGTTTCCTGTCACTCCCTAGAGGCGGATAAGGTTCTCTTTTACTCCTGCCCATTTTCCCTGGGAGTGAGGCTGTTTGTTTCCTCCCCCCTAGTAGGGATATTGCTTCATATGAGAGAAGGATTCAGGGAAGTAGATTGTGTTTCGTGCCTGTCAACTATCAGCAGCCAATGGCTTCCTACATGCCTGAGCCACTGAGGCGAACTGCCTCTGATTCCCCCAGTCTTTGCCCTCAGCACCCAGTTGAGGTTTCTGAAGGACATCTTATAAATGAGTGCCTTGGACCTCCAGTTCTTCTAAACTGGTGCTCTAGCTCACATTGGCTTAAAGAGGTTAATTACTATTTTATCTGATTTTTTTTCTTACCCTCTTTTATGGCAGTCATCTCTTTCTCCCATGCCCTGTCAGAGGTGAAACCATTAGTGTGTTTTCTCTCTTCATAGAGGGGCTCCTTACTCTTTGGAATTCCCTTGATTGCTTTGCAACCTGACAATTTAATGTTATCTTCCTCCAGAGAGAATTTACTTTTGCTTTTGAAAAGTTAGAGTAGGGAAGATCACCTTACTCCAATAGTTGAATGAATTCATTGGAAGCTGAGTCTCAGTCTATTTCTGTTTCTTTCTTAGTCTTAAGGTGTAGACCCAGATGGTTCTTGCTGAAAGGAACCCATTATTAGATCATTTTTCCTTGGCAGCATCTGAACTCCAGTTTTTTCCCTCCAGCCTTACGAGATTACCAAAAGCTCTCCATAGCTTCAAAGTATTTCAGTCACTCCATTTATTTAGGCAAATCCTATTAGGGAAAATATAGAGTTCTCCCACCCCAGAACCACCACCAGAAAAAAAGTGCCTGGATAGAGTCTTTGGACTTTTCTTGGGACTTGCCTTCTTAGTCTGAGATTTTACATATTTTGATCCACCTTTTCTTGGTGTCCTCAATGGAAGAAGTAGAAAATATATACGTACTTGTCTGCCAAACAGAATTATTATGACTATTCCAAGCACACTTAGTAAACTGTTTATCTGCTCTCTTAACTCAGACTTCCTTCTTATATTTTTATGTAGGGTTTTCATCTAGTTAGGATGGACAACTGTCCCAAATTATAGTTTTATACTTTTGACAGCTGTCTTCCATTAATTTTGATTCCTTCAGAGGAGTATCTATCTGTTCATAGTAAGAATAGGCAGACAGTTGATCCCAGGTCTGTGTAACTTGTGCAACACCCTCAGCATGAGGAATATTTATATTTCCCGAGTGTCTCTTTTGCAACCTTGTCCTCTCCTCTAACCCACCCAACAATGGTTCTAGAAAGGTTAGAGACAGACATATGAAAGAGGATGATTTGGAGCAATGCCATATATTTTATACTTGATTCTAATGGTTTGATTGAACAAGCAATGGCTTGTGCTTATTTTGCAAGTTCATTGTAGTTTGTTGGAAAGTTTAAATAAATATCATTGCTGTCTTGTACAGTAATGGAGACAAGCGCCTACTAAGAAAGTATAACTGCATATAGTACAATAGGTAAGAAGACATAACTTGGAGGGGATGAATTTAGTAGAGGAAAGGGTAGGCTGCAAATGCCAAAATTTCAGAGGATTAAGCCAACATCTTAGTCTGAGTTATCAGGTAAAACTAGATGGAAAGATCTCAATGTAGAATCAATGAGACCAGGTTTGGCTTGGCTGAGTGGTTCTGCTGCTCACTGGAGGTCAGTGATTTGTCTGCGGCAGCTGTGTGATTTGTGTCTGTCATCCTTCTTAGCCTGATCCGGTGTGGAATTTGTTGATGGCAGAGGCACAGGGGTGGGAATGGAAACAAGCCCTGTAGTCAGAGCTTGGACCCGGAACACTCTGACTTCTGCCCACAGGTCACCAGGCAAAACAAGTCATGTGAAAAGTCCAAAGGCAACAGGCAGGGACATAAGAGTCTTCCCCTGATGAGGTCATGGCAAAGATATCGATGCAGGGAGATATATGAAAAGGTTTGGATATTAATGCCTACAGTAAGTTTTCTGACATTGTAAAACATTTTGTTTTACTTCATTATCTTTATTTCCTTTATCACGATGGCCTTCAACCTTTGATTATTGTCATTTCCTTTCATTACTAATCTTATTAGGCAGTAGGAATATTCTGACTATGAATTAAGTTAAATTTGTGATTTTCACACTAGTCAATAAGACCCAGGGACTTATACACAGGTATAAGGATGGGGAATAGATGCCAACATGACTGTCTCCTCCCTGTTCCAGTTAACTGATAAGTGATCATGGCATGCTTCTCTGAGGTCAGCTCAAGGTTTCACCTCTGTGCTCCAGGCAGCCCTAACCAATCAAGGAGATGTCAGAGTTGAAAACTTTACCATTGTTACACTAAATACACCAGATTCTGTTTACCCTCAGATCATCAAAATTCCTGGAGTACAATCAAGAAATAATGCTTCTGTTTTCTGATTTAGCATTATATTGACAGATACGGTTATTTGTAAATTAGTAAAACTGTTTCAGCTGAAATGTGCGTACATGTCTAGCATGTTGTCCTGAACAATCTCTCTCAAGGCAGATTTGGTAAATTGCTTGGTTGAAATGCATTGTTGTTGCTTTAGGTGCTGACTGTTGTGAGGCCAGATTTCCAATTGCTTTGATTAAAGTAGAAACATTCTATGGCTTGGATGACTTACATTTCAAATTGGTTTGAACAAGATGATTGGTATGAAGGACTACAAAGAGTAAGCTATATTTATGTTGTAATTATAACTCCCTGTGTTTTTTTCTGTTTTACTTGTCATACAGCTGTGTTACTGTGTCATTTATGTTGTGGACATTTTTGCATTGCAAAATTCTGAGTGTAAATAAGATACTTATTTGATAGATTTAAAAGCAGAGGTAAGAAGATAATATTAAGGATAGTCATAATTATACATTGAAGAAAGGGCATTTTTTTTCTGTCCTGGTTTCAGATGAATTCTTAGTGTTTTCAAATTATCTTTAGGCTTTAAATATAAAATAGAATTCTTTCTAATGAGATTAATGTATGAAAAGAGCAATAATTTCAACAGTCATTTTACATAAAGAAAAACATTTAATGAAATAGATGTATATAATAATACTACATATTATAATAATAAAAAAGAAAATGCAAAAATTTTCTGAAGAACAATGCCATATTCTATTTGATAAATTTTGAGGCAGTTATGTTTCAAAAGGATTTACATTGTTACTATGACAACTTTTGCATATTATTTTGAAAATAGTTACTTTGATCTATTATTGCAAAGTACAAAACTGCTATTTAAAAATGTACCTTATCAAAATGGACTCAGTTTAAAATAATATATGATTTCTTTTGGACAATTTTTACCTTTTTAATGGATGATTTCTTAGTTACTTAAATGAAGGCAATTTGTGGATTTTTGTTTTTCATTAATGAGTGGAACAAAATAGCCAGAATATCTTTGTATAGTTTCACCAGCTTTTCCCCCATTGTTGTTTGAGGGCATAGCTACTAAAGATACTGAATTTTTCTTCCTCCTCACTTCCTCAGGTTCCCATTCTAATCACATCAATCAAAGATATTTTTTCAGTATTTTAGTTCTTTTAAATTATCTCTTTAATTGTAAATCCTCTGCAATTTAAAATCTGTGTCTCTTGGGTTCTTTTTCGTCTCTGGAGCCTGTTAGTCTCTACCTCTAGAGAAAACCCCTCATATTGCGAACCCTAAAGCATTCTGCAGACAAGAAGTTGAGAATTAGTGGGTATCTTTCCATCCTGAATTCCAGCCTTACCCGTAAATGATAAAATATTTCAGTTTATGGGTTTAATAGTAGCACTCCAGTCCCACTGGACAGACACACACACACGTAGCATCCTTTGTATTCTGTGTGTGCATTTTAAATGTAATAAGTGCATTTATCATGTTGAAACAAAGGCTTAGTTTCAAGTGCGGTCCATATATTTCTCAGTGGGAGTGGATAGGGATGATAGTCTAATTGGGGGAAAGGAGGTGACTCAGTGTAAGATACATGCTTCTTTACTAAAATTGTGTGTTCCTTTACAATGACTTTGGGGCAGCTTATGGAGATTATGAAGATTCAAGATCCTTCCTTCCACTATAACTCCAATCTACCCTTTAATACTACCATTGGTCTTTATAAGTGAATTCCTCATTCTAAGACATTTTTTTATAAGATTTTTATTGGGGAATTGGGGAAAGGGGAACAGACAAGTTGCTGTCGTTTTGTTCTTCAGTCTAGTTGTGGAGGACGTTGCTTCACTGGCCCAAGTTG